TGGGAAATACAGTCCAAAGAACAGGAGAAAAAGCATATGCATCAAGAAGGAGCATCACTAATAAGAACTGCGACATGGAAAATATTATTGAATTTCTTTGCATTTATGCATAATGCATTTTCATTTATGAATGACAACATGTGAAGGACTATTTGGTTACTACTATTTCCTAATGTGTCACACATGACTATTTTTATTCAAGGTACTTAGACAATATGGGGGAGTTGGTGCAAGTTGTATAAGAAGACCCAATAGTTGCCAAGACACCTCTGCAAATTACCACAAGTCCTTAAAGGCTCTAGGTAGACAGTAATTTTCATGATAAGGAAGCGTGTTGTGGTTATTGGCTTTGCAGATACATAGGGATGCAAGATCCTGTTTGAAGTCTCCTGCTGACTGGGAAAGTTTTCTTGTATCTTGAGGACTAGTAAAATATTTTACAAAATATTCCTTCTTAAGGAATTCTTGGACTCATCAGCCCAAGGTCACTGCAGACTGTTACTGAGTATTGCTGCCTACAGCTGGACCTTCTATTGCCACACTGTGCTTTGAGCCCTCTGGCCACCCCTTCTTCTGCACAATAAGCTGTACCTGTCCTTTACCTGATTCATAAAAATATTAAGGATCTCCTTGCTTTTTTGGCATGGGTGGTGCATTTAGCAGTAATGGAGGTAAAGAGGCTTCTGCCTGAGTTGCTTTTCCTAGAGAAGAGGATATCTTTACTATATGTAGGCTTGAATAAAGTCCTTGATCAGGTAAGCTGCCTCACATTTACAACAGTGATGCTTGCTAGTCTTGTTCCTTCCTTGCAGGAATGATTTTCAGGATTCAGTTTGTAGAGCCCTTGCTGCCCACTGGATATGCCTTACAGCTAAATTAATGCCCGTTGAAGGGATTGGAAGCTATGACAGTGAATATTCATAAATATTCTGTGAACAGTAATGTCTGTTTGCCTGCAAGGTACATCTTCATGAGCAGCTGTCTTGATCAGAGAAAGATTTCTGCAAGGCAGGTCTGCAGAGGATGACTTTTCATTTGGTAGATCTGATTGACTAGGGAATGCCATTGTTTCTGCTATAGCACAAGGTAGAATTAAGGGGTGTAAGGAATATGGCTAGTGGTGACATACCCAATTAGTTAGGGCCAGGACTCTCTAGAGCAGGTGTTGAACCAAAAGCATCAAGTTAAAGTTGAGTTAAACACTATTCTGGGAGGCAAAATTGAAAGCATGGGATTAAATCAGCAGACTTAAGTTAGTTCAGACTCAAAGCTGGCATGAGGAACTTCAGGCAAAATGTTTTGAAGCATCAGGCAGGAAACAAATGCTTGCACTGCCCTCCAGTCTCCTGGAAAAGCACCTTCATTTCCAGGAGAAAAGAAGTGACATGTGCCAGATGTATGCGAGACTCTGCATTAGTAAATTAACAGGGCTGTAACACTCAGGCTTGTGCTGCCTTCTTTAATTGCCTGACATGCATATAGAATGCCAAATGATGTTCTCTAAAGGAAACTGAATGCAGATTATGCTTTGCAGCTCCTTGCACTATTGGTTAGCTGGTACCTATCATGATGAACATCAGGAACTCAGTCCACAAGAGGTGAAGGGGCTGCTACTTGTGTAGTTCAGGTGCATGCCAGCGAAAGTCTGCAAAGTTGTGACAGTGGAGTAAGCTGTTGACCTTTTTCTAGCATCATGTCTTGGACTTGTCATTCTTTCTGAGGCCTCATTTACAATAGCTTTTGAATTGGAAATAATTGGAAAGGAGGACTGGGTGCTTTTATGTTTTATGCCCTTAACACAGGGACAAACCAGCTTATTTATAAAAAAGAATAAACTGCCACCACTGCACCACGTGGATGTAGTGCAGCAATGGTTAAAACAACCATGGTTAATGTAGATGCACATATGCACACACACATGGGTGTACTTGGAACTGGGTAGTTGAGGATAAATTTAGACTACATTGCTGTGGTGTGAAGCACAATGTGACCCACTGCATGAGTGAATTGACTGGGATCTTCTCCCTACAATTCAAGTGTTAGCATCCTTCGAATGATGTCTTCTTCCTGGCTGCCTTAGGAGCACAGAAACAAAATAAAACAGGAAGTAGTTAATGTAGCTTTGTTAGTTGATCCCCATGTTCCCCTTTTCACCTTTCCTGTCCTGTTCTCCAAGCCTAAAGCAAAAAGTCCTTGGTTTATTGCAGTATTTGTTTGGTTCTATTATCACATCCATTGCTAGAGGAGGAATGAAAGCAAGTGCAAACTTCTGATAAGTTCTTCGATCATCTTATCTCTCTCCTCCTTCCACCTGCTAACCTTGCTAAGCTGTTGTCTGCTGAGCTGCAGAAAGAAGGTTTGCTCTACCAGGTAAAGTATTGGTTTGATTTCAATCCCCAATCTGGTTTTTGGTCCACCATGTCATTCCCCCCACACTGCCCTCCCCCCTTCCCCCGTTTGTAGTAAAAGTAACATGCTTGGTATGTGGTAAGTTTCTTACCTTCCGTCCCTGTTTGTTTTCTTTCGTATCTTGACCTCCTGTCTTTGTCATCCTACCTATTGGAGCACAGATAGCCAAATTTCCCTGTGATTCTCTTGGCCTCACATCTTCCCCAGTTGCACATACCATGGTGGGCTGCAGGTGAAAGCAGCTGAGAGCCTTGTAGCTCCATTCTGTGAGAAGACTACTGCAATTTACTGGGGTATGCATTAACTCAAATAACCCTTTCCCTTTCCCGTCCCCTTTATTCTTTCTTGAATAAGGAAACTCTAGTAGAGGCAGTATGTTGTCTGCTGGTTTCCGTATTGCACATAAGCAGCCTGAAGTGCTACAGTTTGTTTAGACCTAGCATCTGCTTGCTGTCTCTTCTTTCAGGATGGCTTCCACCAGAAATGTTTTGATACTAATGTAATCTGGAATCAATGGTGGCTAGACTTGTATAGACCCTTGTGAGATATTTTGAACAGGTCATTTACCACTGTGACACACTTGGTTTACTTCTCTTTTGCTCATCTGTAGAGTGACAAAAGAGCTAATGATTGAATTGAGTTCATTGTGGAGGTATTGACTTGCATCTTGCCACTGGAACACCCTTTGCTAGAACTATAGATACTGACTATGGATTTTCTGCAAGGCTGTGTGTAAATCCTGTGGTGCAACAAGCACTGTGGTGTACAGTTGGAGGTTTTTTTGGTGACCAGTAGCCTGGCCTAATTTCATACCATCTCATCTCCCTCCCTGGGGAGACAGGGTAAATGATGTTTTCAGACCCAGACTTCAGTGCAGACAGTTTTTCTTTGGTTTTAGTGATAGCAACAGACAGCTTTGTAAATAACTACATTACCAAAGTTCAATTGGTAATCAAAGAGGGTTGAGACACAGTGCCAGATTTGCTTTTCTCCGTTTGGAAAGTCTCTTTCAGATATATCTCCTGCTCTCAATAAAGCCAGTATTTGCTGATTCAGGTTTGCTGAGAGCGGGCTAGGCTCACTGGTGTGTTCCAGCTGCTTTGCAGTGCTGTAGAAATGCAAACCAGGTGCAGGCCTTGCTTAACTCAAGCCAGGTTTGTGGCTGGTTTGCATCACTGGAGCAGTGTGAAGTACCTGAAGCATGCCAGCTAATCTGGCCTATTGGTGAACCATTATAAATGACTGGTTTTTCCTCATGCTCTTTACGTGTAACTATTTATAGTTAAAGCCCATAGAAATTGAGTAGATTGTATCACTAAGGCACACTTTGTGTTCCAAACTAAAGTCTATAAAAGCAGAGAGTTTTAAGCCAGAACTTTTTCTTCTTAACTGAAGTAAAATCATCAAATTACACACTACTTCTCTGTGCTTCTCTGTTATATATTTCTTTTAAGATGCCTGTTCTTACTGTAAGATGAAATAATGGTATGTCTGATATCTAAAAGAGTAGGCTTTGTAAGTTTTGCTTTGCAAAATGTGATCTCAGCTTTTGTTCTAAATGCAGTAATTTTTATCTGCTTTATTGAGAATATATGCAGTATTTGTGTAATTATTGATATTGCCTCTAATTTACTGATTAAAAATTTTTGTGGAGATTTTGATAGAGGAAGAAAATTGGTAAACTGTGATTTTTCTTCTGTTTATAGTAAATTTTGTAACTGAAATCATAGTTGCCTACCTTAGAGCACATGATAAGTGCTCAAAATATGCTACAAATATTAATAATTATATTAGTCTATTTATAATAATTTTTTTCATAATCCAGCTCTTTCTCTGTGGCTCTTGTAGTCTTAAATGTGTGTTTTTAAACAGTATCATATGACAGAAGAATGACAGAAGTGTCATTACAGCTACTCTGATCCACACTTTCTTCAGAACCCACAATTTTTACTCTTCACTTATAAATGTTTTGTATAAAGATTATGGGATGATTAATGTTTTAAAAAAAATCTTTCTGGGTGAGCATATTGACATTCAAGTCAGAAATTGTATTCCTCTGATCAGTTGTATATTGAAAGAAAACATGACAGAATTCGCAAAGTTTTTCTAGACTTTGAGGCAAAATGCCGAGGAATTAATTACTGCCTCATATTAATTAAGATAACAATGCAAAGCCCTTCATTAGAAGCATAGGAAAAGTTCTTCCTTGGTCCTTGGAGAGAATATTATATGCAAGCCCTGTTGTGTGGGTTGCAAGGTGTCACTGGAATTTATATGCATTACTTGTCTAATTGCAGTAAATGTAGCATGTCCAGATAGGTTTAAAAGTTGGATGGCTGTTTGTTACTTGCTGGAAATCACTTGAAACCTTGCTACTCAGAGGCAGCTGTTCACAGGTCCTTCACCTCTCCCCAGAGATAGCTGGAAGACTCTGTTGTTGGACCCTGTCTTTTATGGCAGAAGCAGTAAACATGACAGGTTGTTTGGGAGCCATCTGTTTTAAAATGGTTGCTGCTTTGTATGCAGCAATGAACTTGAGATCGGTTTTCTGTCTGTCTTCATAGTAACAGCCTTGTTTGGTGTCACAACAGGTGGAAGTTGATGGGATGAAACTAAATGTGACCAGCGAGTGGAACCTGGCTTCACCCTTGTTGTCTGTCACCGTTGATGGCACTCGGAGGACTATACAGGTAATCTCACCAAAGCCTCATTTGTAGAGCTGAGATAACCAGGAGCCTTTGCATATACAAATAATAGTGAAATGTGGGGTCTAAACTTGCTGCATCATAAAAATTACGTGACACTGTATAAGTAGAATAATGTTTCTACTTTGAGACAAATTAACTCCATTGAAGCTCTGGATGCATTTGAAGTTACTCATCTAGAGTTTTGAGTATCTTTCTTTAAGAAAAGTTTCTTATTTAGGCAGAAGTTTACCCCAGTTTTATAGGATCTCCTTACTTAATGGCTTGTGAGGAGATGTAATTTCTTCATCACTTGAGAAATAAAAAATGGATTACTGAAAAAAAGCAACCAACCAAACTAAAACAAGAAAAACCCTAACCTCCAACAAAAACCCACATGGGGTCATGCAGCAAAATTAACCTCTTCCCTGTGTTTGGGTGGTGTGATTTTTCCACTTTGAGGCCTTTGCAGTTTGAAAGTTATGGTACAGTGCATCTCCCATGGAATGTGGGTTTTTTTATACTTTTATGACATATGATTAGTTCCATGTTTTGAGAGGGAAGACGTAGGAAACATCCCAGACTTGTGTGTCTCTAAGAAGATTAAAAAGGTTAAAGTGGTTGTATGTTCTTTCCTTCTGACCACTTGTGTTTGAAACCAACTCCAAACACCAGAGTGTGCTTTTAACTGCCTTGTAAATTTTCCGAATATAACGCCAGTCAGGATTTATATATTTGTTGACAAATCATTTTTTTATAAATATCAATTGATCCTGGTTATTTTGGAAAAAACCCAAACCACTTACATGAAAGTCTTTTTCTACATACAACAGTATCTATTTCCTATACATTTATCAGTGACACAGTGGTCATATTTCTGGTAATTTACAGTGAAATGTGCAAATTTTCATTTTCATGTCTGGTGAATTGCCCAAGCAGAAATACTTTACTCTGATTGAATTTAAAAGACTTCAACTTTAAAAAAAAATAAAATTGTATCTTTCAAGGTTAGTATTGCTAGAGAGTGAAGTTTTCATTGTGTGCCCAAGAATTCTGAACTTAAGTTTTGTAGATTTCTTGGAAGGTTAATGCCAGCTTCAGGATTTGTGTATGTAGATCTAAAATAATTTTCTATTTTAAGGTGTGGTTTGGTTTTTAAAAAAATATTTTAATACTGGCCCATTTTGGTGCTCTTTTGTCAAGTACATTCCTAGTTTTGAATAGGAAACACTACCGATATATGAATATATAAAATCTCTCTAGGTGAAAAGCATTATGTTTAGAATGGATAATTGTACTCACAAGGCCTCATTGCAAACTCTGTTACTATATGGCTACATACAGATCTTGGAGTACAAGTAATAGTAGTAGCACCATTTAACTAAAAGTGTAATAGTTGAATTGGCACATAAAATTAGTTTCAAAATTAATGATCATGAGATCTGAACATGCTTTCTTTAGGAGCTGAGCCAGCAGTAGTGTTACTTGCACTCCCTGAGTATGACCAAACTGTATGAAATACTGCAGGTCTAGCCACAGCATCACGTGATGAGCTGCCTGCATGGTATCGAGCCAACAGAATGTGGAATAAGCACATATGTTGTTTCTTTCTCAGATTTTATCTGTAAGTCTTTGCTTTTAGCAAAGAAACTCAGTAGCTTGAGAAGTTATTAATCTTTTAGTGTATATATGTAAATTTATGGGAACCTTAAACTTGACCTCTGATATCCACTCACTGGAATCTAAATTGGTTTTTTGGTTGTATATTTCTGTAGACTCTCCCCACTGCAAGAACCAAATTAGACAAGTATATTCCTGTAGGTCAATTTGTCTCCAAAAGCAATTGACCCCTGAGTCCTGAAGTATCTTCTTTCAGCAAAACTTAGCCCTAGAGCCATTTAAGCAACAAATATGATGAATCGAATAATTCCAGCTGTGCTTTATTAATTTTCAGCCAATCTAATTTTTCTTCATAGTTGGTTTCATTCTTCTAAATTTGCTCAACCAAATATAATCTTTGTGAACATTATATTTCTTTGAAGGTTTGATTTATGCACCTTCAGCTTGATCCTGCAGTCTGGACACAATCCAGCAAAGCACTTAAGCATAGAAGCAGTAAATAAATAATTTTAGAATATTCTGGTTTGAAATGTATTTATGCAAATTATAATCCAGATATTCAAATTGTTGCATATCTGTCGTGTGTTTAAAAATAAGTAATTAAGGATGCTTCTGTATTTTCACTCTGCTGAAGGCTCAATGAGTGTTAGAGCAAAGCAGAGTTATGAAAGGCCTCTGAGTTGAAACTCAGGTTTTCTAGGAGAATTTCTAGAGTGTGGGACCTGGGAATCCATCTGAGTGCCTGAGGAGAAGTATATGCTCTGGTCACAGTCTGTCTAGGGCATATCAGGGCACAGGGAGGATCTGTGGTAGCCTCCTCCCTCCCACTTTTGTTTCCTGTGCAAGGAAGCCCATCTGTGTGCAGCAGATGGGCTCTGCAGAGTGCCTGGCCAGGTCCCCAGATGATAGAGGGACCAGAACCCTGGGGTGTACTGCAGGTCCGTTTGGCTGCAGCATAAGGGCTCTGAAATCTTTCTGCTGATTTGGATTCCTGTGAAATCCATAGGATGTTATACAAACTGATGAAAGCTTGGGATCGTTCAAGCAAGAGATTTCTGAGATACAATCTCCAGGGATGGAAGTGTGGGCAGACCCCATGGCATTTCTTGTAGCACACAGATTCTGTCATGAGTTTTTTAGTGGTTGTTTTTAGTAGTTTCTCAGCTAATCCCAGTTTCTCAGCATTGACTCTACCTCTTGTTTGGGGAGGCTGAATTTATCACATTGTGAAGTGTAGAATTTTGTTCACCAAGGAAATAAAATTTTTGTGTGCATAAATACTTTACCAACATGGTTTCCTCTACTTGTTTCCAAAGATGTTAGTGGCTCAGAATTTGTCTTACACGTAGCTATTGTGAATTTGGATGCTGCCTTTGCTGAAAATCAGAGAATTATAGGAATATAGTGACAATATGTCAGATTTGAAGGGATTTGGTTTTATTTAATTGAAAGTACACATTTAAAATACGGTTACATATAAAGCATGATTTGATTATGATATAACCTTTCAGGCAATATTTAGAGTAAAAACAAATGAATAATGAGGGGCTTAATGATCTCTGTGAAGAGGAAGTGGAAAAGAGGTGGTTGATTTGAGGAAAAGAAATGTAAGAACTCTGGTAGAAACTGGTGTGGAGAATGGTGGGTCAGAGTGGTATCCTGAAAAGTAATGGCAGTTGGAAGAATGGCAACAGGCATGTTTTGGGATCCTCTGTCTCTGCTTCCATTATACAAGTAAGCTAGATTGCAGTGAGCCCTGTGCCTGCAGAAGTTGTCTATGACCTCTTCTCTCTCCCTGTGCACATGAACCTGGGGAGCAGGTGAAAGGAAGGAGTATGTGGTCTATGCAATAGAGTTTGAACATCTCCTTTTATTCCTCATGGGAACTAGAATCTAAGGGGGCCTCAAGATAAATCAGTGAATCCATGAAGTCCAGCAAATGGGCTTGAACCTAACTGCAACTCTGTCCTTACTACAGTAAGGTTGCAAGTTGGTGCCTTCTGTGGAGACACTGTGCAGGAAGATCAGGTATCTGCAGAGAGAGCAGATTGCTCAAGGGAAGTGTGTGTAGAAGATCCTCAAACATCTTTGCTTTGCCACTACTTATGTTTGGGGAAGTTCCCAAAAGCCACCCCACTGATCATCCAAATTCTGAGGCTGCTCTATGGCAATGCCACATGGACAAATTTTACAACTGCTGTGCTGTTGATGCTCTTTCTTTGATCCCATCATCAAACACTCAACTCATCCTTAAAAACCATCTACTTGCAGACAGTTCCCAGAGCAAAAGGATGCTGGGCCAGAAGCTTAGAATGGTTTGGTTTGAGTTATTTGTCACTGTCCTTTCCAACACTTTTGTACCTCTTCATTCTGTCATATGCACCCATCCTTTTCACTGACATATTGTCGGCCCACGCTGGTTTCACAGCTTGCTTGCTTGCTGTCATGAAACCTTCTACCCTGTCAAGATAGTGCAGGCATTCTGCCTGGACCCTGGAAAGCTCTTGGTGGCTTTTGGCACCTTCAGCAAAGCAATTTTACAATGGCACTGGTGATGCTTTCTCTTTGTATTTCCTGCCTTTCAGAGAATTAATCTCTGATGAACTGAGGCTCTGTAGGATGTAGAAAGACCTGATTTGGACAATGTCCTGTGCAGCTCAGTATCACTTTGACATTAGCCTTGCTTTGAACGGGGAATATGACTACCTGACTTCCAGAGGTCCCTTCCAGCCTAACTGTTCTGTGTCTCTGTTGGACATCCCAAACTCTACAGTAAAAAGGTCTTTATCAGTCACAGCAAGGTGTAATTAAGAGAGTAATAGAGTTGCTAAACAAGAACATGATCCTGTAAAGCTGAAATCATCAGTCTCAAACTTCAAGTGGTTTTGTGAATGAAATAAATGAAGATTTATCAGGGGAGCTTTCTCTGCTTAGTGTTACAGGGAATTCAGTGATGGCATCATTTATTTTTTCATTTAATTTATTTATTGCATCAACAGTTGCAGCAGGAGTAGTATATTCTGCATCCTGGGATATGATAAATTTAAGTGCTTCTCTGATAAAATGTTTCTTTTGATTATTATTTTGGCCTATAATAGCAGAAAAAATGAAAATGCTGTAGGTTATGAAGTCTTTGTTCCTGGGGAGTGTCTGACAGGAGAACAAAGCCTATGCCCAAGTATTCATTTCCTTCAACCCTGTGGAGACTTTTTTGAAATGTGTAGTTGGCTTTTTTTTAAGGAAAATTACCTTTTTTTTTAAAAAAATCATTTTCTTCTTTTGTGATCTCAGATGTAATCTGTGATAATGATATGATACATTATATAAGTTTCCAGTTTAAAGTACCATTACCTCAGCATACTCATTTCCTTTAAACCCTGAAAATG